CTGCCTGAGTATTACAGACTTACCCCGTTGTGGACTGGCACATCCATGCTCCATATGTGGTTCTTTGTAAGAATATTCCTACTTTCTCCCGACATGCACTGCCAAATGTTGTATATGACCATCATTTGCTTTTCTTTTGTATTATTATGCACTTTCTCAATAAACGTTTTTTTTTTGGTAAAAAAAAAAAAAAAAAAAAAATGTTTGAAGATTTTTCTTTCCTTTGAATGACTTCATGAATATTTGGTTGTAGTCGCACTGTTTCTGAGAACTGCTGTACATCTGTGTTGCATGGAGTCCCCCAACTTCTGGCCCCTGTGATCAGGTATTCCAGCCCAGGATGATTGGACCACATTCCACAGTTCTTCTCTATTTCTTGGTTTTGCCTCAGAAACAGCATTTTTGATGTCACCCCACAAGTTTTCTATTAGATGAAGATCCGGGGATTGGGCTGGCCACTCCATAACGTCCATCTTGTTGGTCTGGAACCAAGATGTTGCACGTTTACTGGTGTGTTTGGGGTCGTTGTCTTGTTGGAACACCCATTTCAAGGCATTTTCCTCTTCAGCATAAGGCAGCATGACCTCTTCAAGTATTCTGATGTATTCAAACTGATCCATGATCCCTGGTATGCGATAAATAGCCCAACACCGTAGTATGAGAAACATCCCCATATCATGATGCTTGCACCACCATGCTTCACTGTCTTCACAGTGTACTGTGGCTTGAATTCAGTGTTTTTTAAGGGGCGTCTGACAAACTGTCTCCACCCACTAGACCCAAAAAGAACAATCTTACTTTCATCAGTCCACAAAATGTTGCGCCATTTCTCTTTAGGCCAGTCAATGTGCTCTTTGGCAGATTGTAACCTCTTCAGCACACATCTTTTCTCCAACAGTGGGACTTTGCGGGGACTTCTTGCAGATAGCTTGGCTTCACATCGGCGTCTTCTAATTGTAACAGTCCTCACAGGGAACGTCACACCTTCTTTCATCTTCTGGAGCTGATTGTTGGCTGAGTCCTCACAGGGAACGTCACACCTTCTTTCATCTTCCTGGAGCTGATTGTTGGCTGAGTCCACCCCATTTTGGCTATTCTTCTATCCATTCCAATGGTAGTTTTTTCGCTTTCTTCCTCGTCTTTCAGGTTTTGGTTGCCATTTTAAAGCATTTGCCATCATTTTAGCTGAGCAGCAGCCGATCATTTTCTGCACTTCTTTATATGTTTTCCCCTCTCCAATCAACTTTTTAATCAAGGTACGCTGTTCTTCTGAACAATGTCTGGAACGACCCATTTTCCTCAGAATTTCAGAGAGAAATGCACTGTAACCAGCATGTCCAACATTTGCTGCCTTCCTTCCTTAAATAAGGGCAATAATTGCCACCTGTTTGTCAAAGAATGAATGACCTCACTAATAGAACTCCACACGGCTATTATTTTGAACACGCCCCTTTCAATGAGTGATTCAATGACACAGAATCAGCAGCATGCATGTCATGACTGTTGGGTCTGTTGGATTTCTATGACTCTACTACACCTGCTAGGAAATTATTTGCCATGTAGAAATCTCATATGATATCCTCCCCAGAGAATGTGCTCTCCTGCATGCCCCCGGGGGCATGAACCTGGCGATCTCCATGATCGCTGTGTCCTATGACACGCTGGTCATCGGGAATTGCAGTTGCCGGTTGCTCACTGCACTTTCCTCACCCTGTCAGAGCATGAGGAAGGTACTGCCAGCAGTTGTCAGAGGAGGGATCATCAGGGCACTGATGATCAGTGCCCTGAGGATCGGTGCCCAGCAGCGCCACCCACCAGTTCTGCCCACAAGTGCCCAGCAGTGCCACCCACCTTTGCCCAGCAGTGCTGCCACCCACCTTTGCCCACCAGTGCCGCCCCCCAAAAAAGATAAAAATGAGTACAATGTTGCATGACCGCACAATTGTCATTTAAAGTGTGGCAACGCTGAAAGTTTGAAAATTGGCCTGGTAAGGAAGGGGGTATAAGTGCCTGGTAGGCAAGTGGTTAAGGACCCCACTGGCACCTTTTGGGGGGTAACCGAAATTGACAGGTACCCGCTCCCACTTCTGCTGCAATCACCTAGGGATCAGAAGCGGAAGTTGTCCTCCCCCCTCCCTCCCTGTAGTCTTCTGGGACACATGAAAGGTCCTAGAAGACTACAGGACCATTCACAAAGCACAGAGATACTCGCACATGCTCAGTGGGCACCCGGATGTGAAGCCGCAAGCTGTCACAGCTGGGTGCCCACACTGAAGATGCCGGCACTGGAAACACAGGGCGGCCGGTGAAACGGGCTGCGGGGAGGACACCACGAGATCGAGGGACAGGGTAAGTGCCCGTCTTTTAAAAGTCAGCAGCTACAGTTTTTGCAGCTGCTGACTTTTATTTTTTTTTATTTTCACTGGAACTCCACTTTAATGTATGAAGATATTATTTGTACTGTACAAATTACAACCTGTACGTTACCTCTAAGGGTTGTACCCCTTCTGACTTACTGTTGGTGAGTCCTGCAATCACATTGTTATGAGCTCCTTGTAAAACTATTATCTCTTTCCAATAAAATCTATGAACAAGAGAAGATATGGACCCCACAATTCCTCTATATACTCCACAATTCTCCCATGTGGACACCTCGTAAGTGGTTCTCCAGTATAGACTCCCAGTTTGGGGAACTCATTTAGAAGAAGCCGTCAGCTAGAATCAAACTCACTACTCTACAGTATGGTGAAGACCAAGGAGGCCTAGCAATACCAAATGTTAGACTTTATATTATAGCTGCCCAACTTCAACATCTTACCAGGTGGGACTTAGTAGACACATTAGATCCCATCCATCGGTTGCTACTTCCATCAGATACAGATTTCACATCACTCTCTGTCAGGGCTCCAGGTATGACCAGAGATGTGTGGACTGACACAGGGGAAACGCAGGCTCAAGGATGGGTGTAAAAGTAATATAATTTATTTAAGGTTACACAATACACAGAACACACAGTGCAAAAACCAAACCTTAAGCTAGTCCCAATATGTGTGGGAACACAAGCATAGTCAGGGTAACTATCAGGGTAGGTACAGATCTTTATTAAAGGATCCAGGTACGGGTCGGTAGGTAGGTCAGGCAGTACAGGAGGAGGAGCAGGCAGAGAGTAGTCATGTAAAGAGCCAGGGGTCAGTGCAGGAGAGGTCAACAGATCAGGATCACAGGCAGGATCAAAAGCAGGATCATGGCAGATAACAACCAACAGGGGACACAGATCACAGGCACACAGATGGCACAGATCAACAAGATACAACAGGGGCTCATGGGAATACAATCACAAGGCACTGGTGCCATGGCCTTAAATAGGGCCCGGCCAGTCCTAAATATCTCTGCAATTGCAGGTGATGCCCGATTGCAGGAGTGAGTCTAGCCCTGGTTGCTGAGAGCACCCGCTGGCCAGCCCTGGTACTGCAGCCCACAAGGCAGGTGAGTCCCATCACCATTGGCAAGTCCATTCCATTCCTGACACTCTCACACTTGTTAATGGGCTTCAGATGGCACCAGTGGGAAAGGCATGATCTCTCATATATTTATTCCAGTCTTTTGACTCCGAAGACTTATAGAAAGAAATGGAAAAACAGAAAAGAAAATAAGAGAGAGTGGTGGGAGGTGATTGTGACCTCCATACCTCTCATCTCTCTGTCCTCTTCACAGAAACTCAGTCATTTCTTTTGCATAGAGCTTTCAGGACTCCAGCTCAATTGTTCAGCTAGGACAGGAGGGATTTCCCCTTATGACCCCAATTGTAGCGGTGATGTCGGGGATTTTGATACACATGTTTTGGAGATGTCCAAAATTATTCAAAAAGTGGAACAATATGACCAGTATTGTAATGTTGGTATTCAATATTCCTCGGGTGTGCCTCTTGGTGTCAATAGAGGAGGAATTATTTACACCTCCTCCTATTACAAGTCATATAGCAATAGTGAGGCTGCTTGACCATAAAAAATATCCCGATCTTGGCTATCATCTCAAACTCCCAGCAGACAACAGTGGTGGATTGAGCAGGTGATCTCCACATTAACATCATAGGTTTTTAATAGCTTTTTTAGCCCCATAGAAGGAGAACGGCCAGTTGTATCCTACTGAATGGTGACTACATGGGAGACCCATACTTGGGGTATGATCCTGTAGACACGGGCCTCATTCGGTGTCAGCTATCTATGTATGTACTGGGGGGAGTTACTTGCCGTGTACAGCTGAATTGTTCTAGGTTGTTTCTTCTTTTCTCTGTTCATTTGTTTATAAAAGGTAAAAGTGACACCATAGACAAAGCAAGTTATTGTTCTGTATGATCTGTAACAGTGCCACAACTGCCTATACGTGAGAATGTATGACTCCATTGTCTGGGCTGAATGTTGGGAATACTGTGCGCACTTAAAAACTTTATTAATAAAATCTATTTGAAAAAAAAAAAATACTGTAGATAATGCTGTACATATTCTTTCTATTCATAAGATATATTTAGTAATGAACATTAAAAATAGAAAGCAACTTTATGTAGCCCTTTATATAGAATTTTAATTTTTTTTTTTTTTACAGTACAGGTGGATTGATGAACCAAGTTTTCGGTCATGTTGGTCTTCATGAATATAGCAGCTGAGTCACATGGAAAAAACAAGACATATGGGTGTCTTAATTGACTGAAAGTCTTTATTGCAGTTCACTGGAGGATTCACACGGGATACAAGTCATATCTGTGTTCTAAAAGTCATGGTTTGGATCCTCTTCCACATTGATCCAGCCTCAGAGGACAACAGGAGAAAAGTAATTTCAGTGTTCTGGAAGTGACAATGGCTTTACAATAAAGTCCAACCCCATATACATAAGAGGAGTCATTTCAAACTACTTCTTGTTTGGAGATTTTACAATGGAGAGAAAAAAATATATCACACACCAGAAGGTTCACAATGGAGAGGGAAGTCATATCATTGTTCTGAATGTGGCAAAACTTTTACAAGCGAGAGAGACCTTATAGTACACCAAAGAGTTCACACTGGAGAGAAGCCATATCAGTGTTCTGAATGTGATAAAGCTTTTTTACAGGAAGTCACATCTTATCACACACCAGAGGATTCACACTGGAGAGAAGTCATATCAGTGTTCTGAATGTGATCAAAAGCTTTTTACACAGAAGTCAATCTTATCACACACCAGAGGATTCACACTGGAGAGAAGTCATATCAGTGTTCTGAATGTGATAAAGCTTTTCACACACAGAAGTCACATCTTATCACACACAGAGATTTTTCACACTGGAGAGAAGTCATATCAGTGTTCTGAATGTGATAAAGCTTTTACACAGAAGTCACATCTTATCACACACCAGAGGATTCACACTGGAGAGAAGTCATATCAGTGTTCTGAATGTGATAAAGCTTTTACACAGAAGTCAATCTTATCACACACCAGAGGATTCACACTGGAGAGAAGTCATATCAGTGTTCTGAATGTGATAAAGCTTTTACACAGAAGTCAGATCTTATCACACACCAGAGGATTCACACTGGAGAGAAGTCATATGTGTTCTGAATGTGATAAAGCTTTTACACAGTGAAGTCAAATCTTATCACACACCAGAGGATTCACACTGGAGAGAGTCAGTCATATCAGTGTTCTGAATGTGATAAAGCTTTTACACAGAAGTCAAATCTTATCACACACCAGAGGATTCACACTGGAGAGAAGTCATATCAGTGTTCTGAATGTGATAAAGCTTTTCTGAATGTGATAAAGCTTTTACAGTTCTGAAGTCAGTCTTATCACACACCAGAGGATTCACACTGGAGAGAAGTCATATCAGTGTTCTGAATGTGATAAAGCTTTTACACAGAAGTCAAATCTTATCACACACCAGAGGATTCACACTGGAGAGAAGTCATATCAGTGTTCTGAATGTGATAAAGCTTTTACACAGAAGTCACATCTTATCACACACCAAGATTCACATCATATCATGAATCACACCAGAAGATATCAGAGGATTCAATGGAGAGAAGTCATATCAGTGTTCTGAATGTGATAAAGCTTTTAACAAAGAAGTCACATCTTATCAGTTTCACACCAAGATTCACAAAGAGAAGCCATATCAGTGTTTGAATGTGATAAAATGAAAAAGCTAAATGTTTTAAAATGTAAAATCTTAAAAGATTTAAAACTTTTACAGTTAATGCCGGAAACAAACAAACATAGATTAAATCTGAGCAAACTGAGATTAAAGAAGTTTCATGTCACAAGTTAGAATGTCATCCCACAAGCTAGAGAAGAAGGGAAGATTTTACCTTAAAAGAATCAATGACAAACTGGAATGTAATGATTGGATGAACTGAGTTTAGTGCTTATGTCCATCAATACACAACTAGAAGGGATTTAAATATTTTATCTTTTGACATTTTTTTTTTAAGATAAGCATCAATAACTGAACAGCTTCCCTCATGATTCTCATCTTTATCTTTTTTTATGGAGCTTTGAATGAACATGCAATGCATTTTCATGATTCACCAACTGAGTTGTGTTTCCAAGCATTTTCTTCATTTCTGGATCCTGAGGTAATACATGACCAACACTGCCTCAGTACCAGAGACTAGGATGGGGTCTATTGTCATCTTACCAAGTCTCTGAAGCCTCAGTGGGAGAGTCCATTCCAGGTTCTTCTGACTATTGACACATCAGCCAGGCTTGAGGTCTCCAGCTAAGCCCACCTTGTCCACTCCTCCCATTACTGTTCCATCTCCTCTCCCATTATCAATGCCTTCTTTCCACATTTCATCTCTCATTTCATTTATTATTATTATTATTATTATACAGGATTTATATAGCGCCAACAGTTTGCTCAGCGCTTTACAATATAACGGGGAGACAATACAGCAACAATACAGTTACAAAAGTTACAATACAGGAGGGATAGGAGGGCCCTGCTCCTCAGAGCTTACAATCTAGGAGGAGGGAGGGGCTAGTGGTACAAAAGGTAGTAACTGTGGGGGATGGACTGGTTGGAAGAGTAGAAGATTCCATTATTAGCTGAGGGCAGGATAGGCTTCCCTGAAGAGAGAGGTTTTCAGAGATCGCCTAAAAGTGAGCAGAGTAGGCGATAGTCTGATAAATTGGGGTAGAGCATTCCAGAGGATGGGGGAAGCTCTGGAGAAGTCCTGGAGATGGGAGCATGGGAGGAGGAGACAAGGGAGCTAGAGAGCAGGAGGTTGTGCGAGGAGCGGAGAGTACGGTTTGGGTGATATTTGGAGACAATATGGTGGTGATGTAATTTGGGGCAGAGAGTTATAAATGACTTTATATATTATTGTTAATGTTTTGAATTTGGGAAGCCAGTGTTGGGCAATGGGAAGCCAGTGGAGGGATTGGCAGGGAGAGGGGGTGGAGGACACTGAATGGAGGCCAGTGGAGGGATTGGCAGAGGGGGGGGGTGGAGGACACTGAATGGAGGCCAGTGGAGGGGATTGGCAGAGGGGGGTGGAGGACACTGAGTGAAGGCCAGTGGAGGGATTGGCAGAGAGGGGCCTGGAGGCTGGAGCTGTGAGGGAATGTTAGGCCCAGAGGGGAGTCTAAGCAGAGGGGGTGGCTGATCACAGGGATGGATGGTAAGGTGGATGGACTTGTAACAGTGGGCAGGCAGCATTCATGATAGCCAGTGAAGAGGGGAAGCCTGCAATGTGGGGCCAATGAGGAGGGAGTTACAATAGTCAAGGCAAGATATAACAAGGGAGTGAATAAGTTGCTTAGTGGTTTCCGAGGTTAAGAACGGCCATATCTGGGAGCTGGCGGAGGTGAAGTCTACAAGATTTGGACAGTGATTGGATTTGGGACTGAAAGGACAGATGGGAGTCTAGGATTACACCACCTACACCTAGCACCCTGGACATGGGGGGAGGGACTGATGTTTGTGTTATTGATCTTGATGGAGAAGTCAGGGGGGGCACAGGGCTGGAGGGAATACTAAGAGCTCAGTTTTGGAAAGATTGAGTTTGAGGAAGTGGAGTGACATCCATCCATGCTGATAGTGTAGCTTAGTAGGTTAGCGAATGAGAGAGGAGACTGAGGGGAGGTGAGGAGGAGACTGAGGGGTGAGACTGAGGGGGAGTGAAGGGGTGAGGTGATTTAGAAAGATAGAGATTTTGTGTGGTAGCCATAGGGAGGTGGTACTTAAAGCCATGGGAGTTTATCAAGTGACAAAGGGAGGAGGTGTAGATGGAGAAGAGTAGGGGTCCAAGGACGGAACCTTGAGGGACCCCTACAGAAAGAGGGAGGAGTGGAGAGAGGAGGAGGCAGAGTTAGTAGGTAATGCTGATGGAGCGCTGCGCTGTAGATAGGTAGGAGGAGAACCAGGAGAGAGCAGAGTCTTGGAGGCCAAAAAGAGTTGAGTTTTTTGAGGAGGAGGAGGGGATGGTCAACTGTATCAAAAGCAGAGCAGAGAGAGTCAAGTAGTGGAGTAGTGGCCATTGGTTGGGAGAGTAGTAGTGGCCATGGGTTACGGGGCCATGATGAGTGAGAGTAGTGGCCATTGGTTGGGATGAGTGGAGTAGTGGCCATTGGATTGGGAGTGGGATGAGTGGGAGTAGTGGCCAGTTGGGATGAGTACGGAGTAGTGGATTGGTGGGGAGTACGGAGTAGTGGCCATTGGTTGGGATGAGTACGGAGTAGTGGCCATTGGTTGGGATGAGGGGTAGTGGCCATTGGTTGGGGGTGGCCATTGGTGAGTACGGAGTAGTGGCCATTGGTTGGGATGAGTACGGAGTAGTGGCCATTGGTTGGGATGAGTACGGAGTAGTGGCCATTGGTTGGGATGAGTACGGAGTAGTGGCCATTGGTTGGGGGAGTAGGAGAGTAGTGGCCATTGTGGATGAGTACGGAGTGAGACAGTGGCCATTGGTTGGGATGAGTACGGAGTGGCCATTGGTTGGGGGGAGTAGGTGGCCATTGGTTGGGTGGCCATTGGTTGGGATGAGTACGTGAGTAGTGGCCATTGGTTGGGATGAGTACGGAGTAGTGGCCATTGGTTGGGATGAGTACGGAGTAGTGGCCATTGGTTGGGTATGAGTATTGGAGTAGTGGCCATTGGTTGGGATTGAGTAGGAGTAGTGGCCATTGGTTTTAGCAGTTAGTAGATCAGAGTGAGTTTAGTAGTAGGGCAGTGTCAGTGGAGTGAGTGTAGTGAGCGAAAAGCCAGACTGTAAAGGGTCAAGGAAGGTTGTTGTCAGGTGAGGGAGGAGCTCAGGCGATTGTAGACTAAGCGTTCTAATAGTTTAGAGGTAAATGGCAGCAGGGAGTCTTGGGGTCTTAAGTTGTTCAGGTTGGTGGGGTCCAGGGAGGGCTTGTTAAGTATGGGAGTGATGTGCGCATGCTTTAGAGGGGAGGGGAAGGCACCAGTAGAGGGAGAGATTGAAGAGATGAGAGAGATGAAGATGTGATAGGAGATAGGATGGAAGAAGAGGGTGACCGTAGTAGTTGTGAGGGGACAGGATCCAGGGGGCAGGTAGTGAGCTTCGGGCTTCTGAGAAACCTTAGTGACCTCTTCGGTAGTAGCAAGGTCAAAAGAGAGGAAAGTGTTGAGGGAGGTTTAGTATAAGGTATGCTAAGTGGGATGGATGTCTGTGCAGTGGAGATGCCCCTATGAATTGCATCAATCTTGTTTTTGAAATGATTTGCAATCTCGTGAGCAGTGAGTGAGGTACTGGGTGGAGGTGGAGAAAGTTGAGAGTTAGAAGAGAGAGAGACGACGAGGACTGGATGACAAGCTATTGATGAGAGTGACAAAGTAGGCTTGTCTGGCAGCATGGAGGGAGGAATTGTATGTGAAGAAAGCAGATTTATATCGGGTGAATGCTTGGTGAGATTTGGTTTTACGCCACATTCGCTCCAGCACACGACTATGTCGTTTAAGATCTCTGTGTTGTCAGTCTGCCAAGGTTGTAATGGTCGGGGCCTGATGCTTCATGTTAGAGGAGCAAGTGAGTCTAATGTGGATGAAAGTGAACTGTTGTAGACAGCAGTGGCCAGGTCAGGGCAGGACAGGGGAGAGATTCTGTCATAGAGTTGGTCAGTTGCAGAGTGGAAAGGAGAAGGGTTCAAGTTGTGAAGGTTTCTGCAGGTGATTGCTGATTGGAGGGATAAGTGTTTGAGAGATGAGGAGACTGTGAAGGTGATGAGATTGTGATCAGAGAGAGGAAAGGGGGGGGTGTTTGTGAGGTTGTAGGATATCATCTCATGGGTGACAACCTTTCAGGCAGGTCTGTGTCTGTGACACCAGCTAGAAAGAAGTCTCTGTTCAGTGAGAAAACAACATCCCAAGCTGATGCAGGCCTTCCAATACTGAGTTACTGCTGATTTAGGGGATGTATTCAGCAGTAAAACGTAAGCCCAGCTGGCCACTGGCCACTTGTGTTCCATGTGGTTCTGCCAAATGGGATTCCATCAGGTGAAGATCAGAAATCCTTGTTCCATGTTTTTTTCTCTTTCCAGCTATTACTCCTCTCCATAGACTAATCACACAATACAACTGCCAGAGATCTGAACTTACAAAGTGCTGAGTGTGCGGTCATATTCCTACCACTTCTTCCGGGGGACTGACATTCCTCTGATTGGGGTTCACAATAATCACTCTGAGTGCACACATCTCTTTTTGGTGGAAAGTTTGTAAAGAAAACTTCTTCTCCCTGGAAATATTACAACGTTGGCACCAAAGTGTAACTATGGGCAAAATCATAATGACATTAATAATGAAATCTGTCATTAGCAGAGCAGGTTTTGTTTTTCCGAGTCTCCTATTGTTTTTTTTTTTTTTTTGTTGTCCCTCCCAGTAGATTTTTTTTTTGTCTACTTCCTGTAGAAGGCCAAGTCTTTTGGGAAAAATGGCAGTTGGAGGGGTTGGGGCAATCCTATAACACTGCTGGGGGTGCTCACAACTGTCAGTTGTCATTCATATGGGGGGTTGGACCTTATAGAGAAC